GTGCATAAGTTCATTCTCATAACCACTGCATGACACACCCACCATCTTACTGAATTCCTGAATGTGGAGGACCCAATTTGATGCCGGAGGTCTAACATCAAGTATAGAACCTTTCACTATCTCCCCTGCATAGCAGCATCCAATAGGCTCAAAGAGCTATCCTTCTCCCTCTTCCACCCGCACTGCACCCTTGTCCTTTATTCCTAGTTTGGCGCTATCCTCCCACACTACTATCGCTTTTTCGTTCCCTGACTCATTTTCATTAAGAGACTTCTGATGTCTCCTATTGTAAGTGTTCACAATCATAGTATTCGGGCCTGTCACCATTTGCTCTTGTGTCGGGGCCGAACTAAATTCCTCTGCCATCACTGTTCCAGTCTCTTTCTCCATCAACCCAACCCCCTCTGCTGCTATGATCATGTCTCCCTCAATCACACCTGCATCACTCTTCTCTAAAGTCTCGTTCAGTGATGTTATCACGTCCATACTCTTCGTTCTCTGTTCCCCTCCCTTCGATGAAAGTTCCACCCCCTGATGTATCTCATTCCCCGAGTATTTTTCATCTCCACTACACTCCCCTTCATACTGTACAAGATTCTCTTTGATAGGCTCAATCAACACCTGCTTATCTTTAGAGTGATCTTTAGAGTGAACCAAGTTTGATTGTAACTCCCTAGCTGGATACTCAGGCATCCCAACCCCGCACTTATGACAACAAATCATCTTGGAGCGCCCTCTAGAGCACCATCTCCCAGTAGCCTCAGCAATTCATCCACCTCACATTTCAACCAGTGGACGCGAGCCCTTATTACAGCGTTACTCAATGTACTGTTCAAAGCCTCGCTGTCCTTTTGTAACAATACTGACTTTTTCGTGTTCTGTTCGACCTGTCGGTTTGTCGTAACTTCAGCATAGGTCCTCCTTTGTTGATATTTGACATTAACCGTTTGACGCTTAACTTTGTCTTTAGTGACAAAAAAATCTACAACTGCTCGAAACATTCGAAGAGTCAACTCCCAACCCTCTCCATTCGCACCTTC